TGAGGACAAAACGTCCGTCGTAGACGGAGGCCTTAATTGAGAGCAGAAAGCAATCCCAATGAGTAATTACTATTCAGAGAACGCCGATAGGCTTGTTACTGGCTATCGAAGGAAACGATCATGAATCGTAATCTAAATGGTTCGGATGTCGTCCGATATGAATGAACTAACAAATCCTACATTATTCTATGTACTAATTGAAATAATTATGCGTCGAATTAATTCATTACTTTTGGAGTACATTTTATGGTATTATTCAATCGAGTGAAATGGGATAAGGGGAATGTTATGAGAACACAGTACACTCTATATTGTTCATGATACTGTTCATGTCTATAGACGACGGTTATTACTTTCCATCCCACGGGCTGGCAGCTTGTTTGTCATTCTAAGTTGTATAAAAAAGTGTATGGACTATTGGCTTCATTGCTAGCAATTTCCTCCTTGAAGCCATTATGGTTGAACCTGATGATTTATTCACGTAAGTTAAAAACTTTGACATTATCTTCACCTATTGGTGAAGTCAATAAGCGTAGTCTTACTGATATTCCACTGGCGTAAACCGACAGCACACTAAAGGTATTCTTTTATCATTCTATAAAAAAAGCATGTATACGTAATTACATAATAAGTTACAGCTGTCTTCCGTTAAAGTAGGTAAAAACAATAAAATGCCTAATAGCTTCCGAATTGATATATAGGATTCATTTAGAAATTTGATTTCATAATATACAGAAGTATATGTGTATTTATTATTAGGAATATAATGTAATTTATTATCTATAATAAATTAGCCCATATTCAAACCCATAAATTTATTCATAAAGTCGGGTTTTTATATATTGTTTCTATAAGAAGAAATGTACATAAGCAACAATAAAAGTAGGAATAACTAATATTACTAATTTACATTGTCCGTGTGGTCCCGGCATAGAATAGGCTATCTCTTACTTTCTTGTGGGTGTCGTAAGCAGCGACTAAAGGAAATTAATGGTAGAGGGATAAGTAGCAGCGTCCTTCTTAAAACATATCTAAAAGTCTAACTTCGTTTGCCAGCACGCCAGCCAAGCGTGGGAACTACTGACAAAACTCCCCTTATGGGAAAGACTTATGTTCAGCAGTGGACAGTTAATAGCTGTTATGCATACTTACATTAATTACAACTCAGGAAAACCTATTCAAATATAGTACACGTGTAAAACAGATAGACCAGATGGCTATTCGATAGAGTTCGCGATTGTTAAGTACAGTGAAAAGTTGGCGAATTTGGAGAGTCACTAGAAAGGCTAAATTCATGATAGGATTTCTAGTTGAATATTCTAGCTAAATTACACTGTATTACAATAGCATAGGGTTTCAGTTGCTTATGTTAGAAATTCAAAGGTAAGTCGATTAACGACTACAAGTGGCAATTCCATCCCAATTGAAAACCTGTGCTGTTTTTTCGATTCAGTAGCTCAGAAAATTTTAAGAAGTAGTTAATTAAGAACATTATACTGTTTGGTGAATTGATATGATAATATTAAGTTATATATTTGTTGAATAAATATACACATATATTGGGAGATTAGCTAAAACGAAAACAGCTGGTTCAGATGAAAGGTCTGAATATGATGTCAGATTATTTTCACACCAGAAATGCACTACAGCCATATAATTAACGATACTTAGCTTTGACTGTACTGTGCTCTGGAGGTCTACCATGAAATGAAATTCCGAAGTTTCGGACTCAATTTCGTGTTTTCGTTCATACTTAAATCGGCCCAGTAAATGGAGCCTAACATTTCGTTCGTCATAAATCCTACCATAAAAGTTCAATGGAATAATATTTTCATATTTTTAATGATTTTAAATGGTAAGTATTATGTAATTTTAACATCAAATTTGTATTTCGTTCGACTACGAAATTTCGGAAAACATTTCATGGTAGGCCCTCTGTATTGTACTCCACGTGACGCGAGATACTTACACCGCGCATACAACGCGCTTCTTCGTTGGTAGTTTTGGTATGCTTATGGCGTTGACCTTACACAACTAATTCCGATTATCTCGGTAGGATTTTAATATGGATATTATATTGCTATTTTTTTTTTTGCTACTTCATAATATTTTACTATAAAATATTATTATTTCTTTATATTATGACATAATATCATACATTACACGTTTTTAAATGAAAGAAAAATCAGGAAAAAATCCAGCATTTTAAACATGAAAGCATAATAAATAAACAAACTTGCTTTCGCATTTATAATATTAGTTACGGATTTTTACTATAAGCAAACAAGACAATTTACTGTGATTCCTGGTATTAAGGAAAAATATCATGATGTCCAAAGTCCGAGACCCAAAAAATATATTTTTAAGTTATCATAGCCAGCTTCACCCTTTCTGTAGTCTGGATGATGATCAATCAAATGTCAGGCTAAAAACTTAATGGTTGTGCCGAATTTTGTTCGAGAACACTCAACTGGACGAGTATCGAGTTACTAACCGCTTAAAGGAAAAGCCGTCAAGTATAAGTTTATTTCATGCTCCTCCAATCCTCCCCCATAAGGTCCAGTAGTTGCCACGCTTGGCAGGAGGGTTCGTAGCCATAGTTAGCCTTTGGTGATGGTTTAAGAGGGACGCAAATGTGGTGGTCTATTTTGGTATTGTAATATAGTGGCCCACCCTGACTTCGTTCACGCAAATAGGTAGATTCTATTTATTTACTGAAATATAGTAAAACAATAATTGCCACAAAGTCACACCAATCGTTTAGTCTCTCTCTCTCTCTCTCTCTCTCTCTCTCTCTCTCTCTCTCTCTGTGTGTGTGTGTGTGTGTGTGTGTGTGTGTGTGTGTATGTATGTGTGTGTGCATGTGCGTGTGCGGTTGCGTGTTTCCGCTTTACGAGTATAATATTTGTTTAAATGAATGAATAAGTGAACATTTCGAAAATTTACAGTTAATAGAAACGTTGGAACATGTCGGTATGAATGCTCTTAAGAGCTTAAGGTCTCGCACAGATGATGGACGTTATGTCGGCGATAAACATTTCCTTACTACTCGTATATGTATAAACCGTGTATACACGTTTTCTTACGATTTTAAGTTTCTTTATTATAGTTGGACGAAAACAAAAGTTGACGATTCTTAAATCCAACTTATAAACCTGAACAGACGAAGTAATCATAAAGGAATTTTTGTCCGCGGACAAAATATCTTCCATATATTTTTTTTTAATGAATGGAGATGGAATGGTGCTCCCACTTATGCTAATGGTATATAATGGTATACAATGACGGGGCACCAGTGGAGGATGAAACGATGTGGACGAAATCAAATCCGTTAAGCCATTTTGGCGAACACAATACGAATTGATTCAAATTCAAATCATTTATTGCACGAATATGGGTACATACATTAGATGAAAATATTATTTACAGGTTCATTATTCCAATTGAAAACCTTGAAAACCTTTGTATCCAGGGTAACCTCGCGGAAGTCGTTCTATATTGTTAGCAACGACCCATAAATGTTTAGTTTTTTTTTATACAATTTAGAATGGCAAACAAGCTGACGGCCCACCTGATGGAAAGTGGTAACCATCGCCTATAGACATAAGCAGTACCATGGACATAACAGAGTATACTGTTTCGCTCATGATACCCCCCATGCGTTGCCATTCCTGAGGAATCAGGTGTTATTCCTCTGTACCCAGTAAATTCACGTCATATCCCACCCTTCAAACCGAAACACAGCCATGCAAACACGACTGCTTCACGGTTGAAACACGAATGAGACAGAGGTACCCAAGCAATCGACTTTTGTACAAAGTCTCTCTCTGGTAAGTGCATATCTGGGAATTAATATTTTAAATATTTTTTGCAAATTTGCACGGGCAAAGACGTGGTCAATAATAATATCAAGAAGAATATTATAACACCATTCAATGTTAATGTAATAACTACCGGTTTAACTTACTATTACTAGTTACGGGATCATCCGGGACCCTTAGACAAAAGCGGCTGTGACGCAAACGCGAGCCTGACTAAAACACACGTAAGTTAAGCTAGTAGTTATTCTTATGAAATTTATAACAATAAAACACCATTACATATTTTAAATTATAGAAAAAGTAGTTTTTATCGTAAATTTTTTCACTATTAACAGTTGTCACTTTGAATATCTTTCTACACCCTCAAAAGTACTTTTATGATTAGTTTAGCCATTAAGATATATATATATATATATATATATATATATATATATATATATATATATATATATATAATAATCTAATATTTATATTATTATTTGTATAGAACTAACAAAATTTTTCATCGTGCCTCCCACCAAACTGTTTATCCTCCTCTCCATCCAAAGGTTGCCTGGAAGAGATCGCTCTTAGCGATAAGGTCGCTCATTGTTTTCTCATTGATTATTTCTTGTAATTATTTATATTTATAATAAGTTTAGTATTGTAATCTTTTGGAGGAAACAATAAAGAGTATCTATCTATATAAAATTCCAAAATGTAACAAACAAAAAAACACACATTTATAATATTCCTATGGATTTTATGTCTAATTTTTTAAAGTAGTCCAAAAATAAATTAGATATTGTATGCTTAAAGAATTTCCATCGAAATTTTCATCGAAAAAATATGACAGTGACAAACCACCGTCACTAATCCCTTAAAGGGGAAAATTCACGAGCGCGAAAAACACACCATTAATCCACCCAAGGTACCAGGGAAACGATTAAATTACCACAGAACGCGAGTGGCGAACGACAGTAATAAAACGACACTACATTACCCCCACTCAAATTTGGACCATTAAAAACGTATCCGATTTTATTGCACTTATCTGTACCTGATCTTTGCCCGGAATGGAATTAAAAAGACCAATTTCCGTAGTGATGAGCCTTCATATAGGGCGCAATGCAGTTATGGCTACAGGAGTAGTTGTAAGGGGGTCGGCGCGACGCGATTTCGCCAGACGCGCCGATATCGTTTCCGAGAAAGCACGGCTCCTACCGTACTATTTTACGGTTACGTAAACGCGCCGGAAGAGCGGCGGTGGTGTGTTAAGTTGAATGCACTGCAGTGTACGTTGTAGTGAAGTGAGTTCCAAATTCGAAAATTGAAAAAGTGTATGTGACAGAAATGTAAAGGTTTGTTATTTATATTTCAACTTTTAATTTTTCATATGAAATCTGTAACTTTTATTATTGTTACGATATTTACTGATATTTTGAAGGTTACGAAATTAATATTCCACATCTATTGTGGTGCCAAACGATAATGGAATAAATTATGTTAATATTACTGTTTATACGTTGAGTCTTATTCGGCTTTTATATGCAAATTGTTTTGAATCTTTGCTAGGCATTAAAATTCACTTAAAGCTTAAAAGTAAAGCTGTGTGATAGGTTTTTATTCAATTCCTGATTTAAATTTCTATTAGATACTTCTATTGTTTAAGAAAGTATTAACAAAATTAAAAAAAGACGTATTAGAATTATTTGTTTTTAATAAAACTAAATCAAGTAAGACTTTTTTTTAAATTCGAACTTCAAACTCGATTAAATTAGTACGTGATCAATAACGGGGTATTTTTAACAGAAAAGTAATCATCAAAATCGATTTATAGATAGATTGTAACAAACAAAATATACACAAAATACTACAATCAGATTAAAAGATTCTTTATTTTTAAAGTAGATTTGAAATAAATATAATTAGGCGTGAACTAATAAGAACATAAAATCCCTCATAAAAAACGATAAAAGTAATTCGGTCCAGACAGTTCGGTTAGGAGCCATCGAAATCAACACCTCACGTCCTTGATTACTTTCCCAAACAGGGTATTCGATTGTACGCAATCACCGCGATGCGTCGGCGATAGAGGTTTTTTTTTATGTTTGATAATGGCGGGCGCTGGCGGGGCATCAGTGAGGGATGATCAGTGAGGATGTAAAGGCAGGACAGTTAACCCATCGTAATGAATACACCTGAAACTCAGCATGATAGTTTCTAGGAAACGGTTTCACGTGGAAGTCGACCTGACAGGGTATATTGCTAGCAAGGGATTGATAGTCCACATTACTAACAATCCCCCCCCCCCGACTTTGGGGGAAAGGGATTGTTAGTAATGGAGACTGAGAACCCCATTGCTAGCAATATACCTAACCAGGTCAATCTCCATGCGGTTACTCCTGCAAACTATCATGGTTAATTCCTGATGAATTCATCATGATGGGCTAACAGGTCTGTTTTCATTTGCATCGATCACCCTTCACTGGTGCCCCACCAGCGTATACCGTTGGCGCAGGCGGGGTTACCATTGCATTTCCACCTATCAAAAAAAAAAACCTTCATTGCGCTATACCGGTAATTAAGTCATCAGAAATTAACTACAATGTTGTCCACGGGAAACCGTGTTTCTTAAACTTAAGTTAACTTGAGAAGATATATTGCTATAAATGGGGCCACTATTCCCCATTGCTTATACTTCCCCTCCCCTTCTTACACTTGTTACATCATCATGGAATTAGTATTCGAGTCAAAATATGGGCTTTCGATTAGACATCAATATCCATCACGCTTTCCTTGACAGGCGTAAATAACCAGTGCAGAGATCGATTGGTCGTCATTCTATTCTATCACACGACTTAGATTATGAATACATGAATATAACCTTATTCTTATGACTTATATAAAAAATAAATAAAATATTGTTCTTATTTAGATTGCTTTATTCAACGAGAGCGGTAAGCATATTTTTTTTAACAGTCGAGGTCATATACTATTACTTACGGGGTCACTAGTCCCCATTAGCTTACAAATAACAGATGTACACATTATATATAAATACTTGAAAAAAAATTACAGTTTTTTTTTAATTTAGTATTAGTATGTTCGTATATATATATATATATATATATATATATATATATATATATATATATATATATATATATATATATATATATTTATTCGAGTACGAAAAGAGACATAGGTCACTTTTTATGCTGGTCAGGGAATATATCCCCGTTACAGACAATATCCGATATCTATATATTGAGTTCTTCTGGACATTTGATAACCACCTATTGCGATATCCCCCATACCAGTCTGATATCTATATTCATTACGAACGAATTCTTCATTTTAATTTTATATATTGGATAACCGATAGGTAATATATTTGTTATTGAGCCAATATATGTATAGATATTTTAACTACAATACTGCTATATATACCAACCCTTACTCCCTGTATACCTACAGTCATAACGTGAATTAAGTTGTGGTAAAAGATATTTTTTTTAAATACATGTTTAAAAAAGACATGTAGAGGATGATTAATGTATTTAACAACTTTATAACCTCACAATGCATTTATAAACAATTAAATATAGCATAATAAATTTAAAATGCACATTTAAAAATTGTACACTGCGACAAACATAACACGTTATGACATTCTCTATTAGTCAAAATTAAGTATCAATTAGATATATTGTGAGCTAAACCCGTCCATTACCTTTATTACTGCCAACAAATAAATTGTTTCTCCAACTAAAATATTTCTCACTATACAAGGAAGCAGGCAATAAACCTTCAGAATCCCAACCTAGAATATCCTGACCCGAGTTAATTTAGAGAAGTTAGAATCGGCCCGCCCACCGAAAATCAAACGCGCGATTCTTTTTCTTTAATTTACGTGAACCCAACTTGTTTAATTAACCGCTGCTCTCAGTGTGGAGTTAAATATTGAAACTAATAATATGTAGGGAAAAGATTTGACTTTTTTAAAGATTCTTTCTCCGATAGAAAGCTACATAAGCTAAAGCGAAAAGCTAAATAGACTACATAAGCTAAATAGAAAGCTAAAGCGAGAAACATGAGTGGTATTTAAAAAAAAAAACACTGCGAAGTCTTGCATAGTCGCTTGTACTATTTATAAAATGCTTCAATCTATTTATTTCTAATTAATATAATATTTAATATTCATAAATGTTTTAAAGGATTTTAATACAACTATGCGCAGCGTAGTCAAAATAATTTACGTCACAGTCCAAGACGTAATTCTTGGCATTCATTATTTTAATTTCTATCAATTAGTAATAAATAATTTTAGTTTGAAATAGAAATAATTAGCAACTGTTAGAAAAAGTCTTCTACTAATTGAATTGAATATTTTTGCTAAAAAAACATGGGCTGCTTGTGTTTTGATTTTCTGACAAAACTTCATTATATCGATGATATAATATTACTAGCTTTTACTCGCGACTTTGCGCGCGTGACCAGAATGTTTACTAACCGGGTTAAAAGGTAGCCTTATATCCTTCTCTATCCCATATAATACGTATATACCAAATTTCATAGTTAAGACGTTATAAGTTAACAAACAAACAAACAAACTCACTTTCACATTTATAATATTCGTAATGATTTAAAATACTTGCGCTTTGTTTCACTGTATTTATTAAAATTTTTCATATTAACAAGATAGCTGAGCGCGTTATTTTTGTTTGAAAAACTTAAAAATTTTCATTATTTTTTTACCCTGAGAGAGAAATATATTCAGTTTTTCTTATAAAAAGACTAAGGAAAAAAAAAAGAACCTATAATGTCTACATATATGTAAAACGGAAATTTTTGTGAACTTATACTAATATATATTTGTAATTTCCGACAATTGTTTTTACTTCATCTGGAAGTCTTCTTCAGGAGGTCTTCATGCTTGTCTTGGTATTTGTCGGAAATAATAAACATAATAAAATAATAAAATTTCTATTATATATAATACATGTAGCACTATAAAATAATAATTTCAATTCTGAACTATAGGTTATGCGTTTTTCAAAGCACTTTCTTCCTAATTATCATTGTGTTGTGTTATTAAGTTTGTAACAATATTGACTATGACTTTTGTAAAAAGATAAAAACAAACTTTGAGCTTTCTAATTTCAAGACTTTTCAACATTAAAGAAAAGAGAATCAATAATTAAAATAATTAAGGCGACTCATTTGTCTTTAAATGAGTATTTAATTATGCAGAACGAAGCTTCAAATATCTGTCGAATTATCACTGTGAAATGGAAATGGTTCTAAAGTGATATCGGAATTATATGAACGAAGGATATTAATAATAAAATTACTAAGTAACTCATAAATATGAACAATTAATAATAATAATCAATAAATGTTGAGACAATTGAATTAATTTATCATCATCTAAAAATGATGTTTAAAAAAATTTGTAACATGACACTGGTGCTTATTACACTTTTTGGATAACTATAAGTGAAGTGAGCAATTTATACTTAAATAAATAAATAAATAAATTATACGGTTAATTTCTGTCTCTTATAAAACATAAATGACTTGTGAACATATTTTGAGAAACTCTAAGTGAAGTGAACAATTTATAGTTAAGTTAATAAATAAATTACCGAATTAATTCCCATCTCTTATAAAACATAAATTACCTGCAAATCCATTATTACTGTGTGCACCTGAACGAAAAATGCTAAAGTTATATGATTTAAAAGTTTGTTTTACAAAAATTAGAATTCAAGTGTAACAAAATTATCTTAGGAATTAACTTCCAGCAGCAGTATTTCCGAACCGATACGACAACATAACCTTTAAGAAAAGAGTGTGTTCCTTTTTAAAAGGCCGACAGCACACCTGCAATACCGCTGGTGTTGTGGGTGATCATGGGCGGCGGTCACTTACCATCAGGTGAGCCGCATGCTCGTTTGCCCCCTGTGTTGTAAAAAAAAATAATAGTTGTTGCATTTTATCTGCCCGCTAACGATATGATTTCCATTTGTATTGGGTTGACTGAGAGTTATCTATCAAAGATAAGTTCACTCTTGCTCACAATATTTATAAATGCATTAACAGTGTAATTTACAAGTGCAATAAAGAATATAAAATAATAATCAGGACATAAATACAAATGAAGTGAAAAGCTTTTTGAGTATCTATACGAGATTATATTTACCCATCAAATTCAGACGCAATAAGGGAGAAGTAACAAGATTTTATGAATTTATTACACAAAGAACTGAAATAGTAAGTAAAATTTATATCATAATGGTTTTGCCGTATCAAATAGAATAGAAATATTTTTTATTTAAATAAACTTGTTTACGAA